AAAGACACAGCGAGAGAGGGAACACAAACGGGGAGTGGGAGAGGGAGAAGCAGATTCCCTGCCGAGCAGGGAGCCCGATGCGGGACTCGATGCCGGGACTCCAGGATCATGACCTGAGCCGAAGGCAGTCGCTTAACCAACTGAGCCACCCAGGCGCCCCGGTGAGTTGATTTTAAAGACACTTGTGACTTGTGCATCAGCTGTAGCATCCCACTTTTCCCACCTCCCCCAAGCTCCCAGGACTCCTGGGAATCCCAGGATTATGCGTCACCTCCTTCCAGATACCTACCCTGACCCCTGGACTGAGTTAGTCCCTCCCTTAGGTTCCCACAGCACTCTGGGCTTCCCCAACCGTATTATTTACCACTGACTCCTGTGATATATATATTTTTTTATTTCTCTGTGTAACACAGCAGCCTGTGAGTTCCATGATAGCAAGAGTGGTGTCTTATTCAGCCTCTCAAACATTGGCTTACACATATTGGGAGTATCAATAACTATTGAATAAATGCTTGTTGCTCATTTCTGCATCCTCTACAGTTAGTCTAGGGTCAGGCATTGAGTAGGTGCCTAACATATGCTTGAATGAACGGCTGAGAGGAGCAGAGGGCGAAAGGTGAGCCAGGTCACAGGGTGGGAGTGAACAGGAAGGAGCTAGGAGAGAATTGGGGTAGGAATGAGAACTCTCAGGACAATGGCGGTTTGAGTGCCTGGTGGGACAATGGCTTTGGCTGGTCTGTGTCCAGAGTGCAGAAGAGAGGGGATAAGACCCAGCAGCTTCCTGGACTTTGGGTGACATGTTTGCTTCCTTCTTCACTTGGCGGGACCCAAATTACAAGTTATGTTTAGCCTGAGATTTCTTCCTGTGCATCCCTCCCTCGCAGCAGAAGAAGAGGAGAAGATTTCTTTTTTTTTTTATAAGTTTTTTTTTTTTTTAAATATTTTATTTATTTGACGGAGAGAGAGATAGCGAGAGCAGGAACACAAGCAGGGGGAGTGGGAGAGGGAGAAGCAGGCTTCCCGCCGAGCAGGGAGCCCGATGTGGGACTTGATCCCAGGACTCCGGGGTCATGACCTGAGCCGAAGGCAGACGCTTAACGACTGAGCCACCTAGGCGCCCTGAGAGGAGAAGATTTCTAAAGATTCTAGAGATGTAACAAATCTAGAATCAACAGGAGTTAAGGGTCCCATGGAGGTGGGGTTGTCCCCTAAAGGACAGAAGCTCGCTTAGGTACATACCATTTCTACTGGGACCACTGAGACTCAAAGCGGGTTCAGTGAAACCTGAAAACCCATTCTTTTTTTTTTTTTTTAATTTTATTTATTTACTTTAGATAGAGGGAGAGCCTGATTGTGGGGGGGGAGGGCAGAGGGAGAGAGATAATCTTCAAGCAGACTCCCTGCTGATTGCAGAGCCCGACATGGGGCTCCATCCCAACACCCTGAGATCATGGCCTGAGCCGAAATCAAGAGTCGGACGCTTAATGGACTGAGCCGCCCAGGCGCCCCTGGTCCCACTAATTCTAGGCCTAGACAAGGGTTGTGATTCCAGTTTCCCAATCACTTGTGTGTTACACTATTATTTTGGTTTTTATTGACCTAATTGGCACTTGGATTCTTGGAGTTGGATGGGTCCCTAGAGGGCAGCTTGTCCACTCCTCATTTCAGAGCACACGGTCATGAGGTCTTTTTTCCGGGTGACCCATGCCTTGCTCCCAGCCACACCATCAGCCCTGACTAGAAATCACAGTAAGTTCCCACCTGCAGTCCCCTGTCCTGGCAAAGCACGCAGCGCAGCCTGGCCTCCCTGGAGCCCGTTTGTCCCTGGATAGCTGTGGATGAGTGAGAGCATATTTTCCAGATTCAAATTAATCTTCCATGGGCTAGGACCCTTGGCTTTAGCTTTGCCACAGCAAATCACTTCTACTCTTTTTCCTTGTGGCAGTGCTGTGGAAATATGGGGATTGAAAATACTGAAAAACACACAAATGAAAGTAAAATTCACACATAATCCTAACACTTAAAAAGTGAGAAGTGAAAGTTAATGGAAAAGTTTCTGTTCCTGGGCACCTGGGTGGTTCAGTGGATGAAGCGTCTGCCTTCGGCTCAGGTCATGATCCCGGGGTCCTGGGACTGAGCCCCGCATCGGTCTCCCTGCTCCGCGGGAGGCCTGCTCCTCCCTCTCCCTCTCCCTCTGCTTGTGCGCGCTCTCTCTCTCTGTCAAATAAATAAATAAAATCTTAAAAAAAAGTTTAAAAAAAGATTCTATTCCTTCAATCGTACTCCCACCTTCCCTGAGAGCGCCATTCTTAGCAGTGAGGTTTAGTCCCTTTCCTGCTCTGTCCTGTGTGTATAAACACACATAACTCACACACAGGTACACACACACGGACACACACATATACACACACATAGCCACTCACCTACACACACACATACACACACACATACACACATACATTAACACACATTCACACACACATTCACCACACTCACACATTAAAAAGCTTAAATGGGATCATAGTATACAAACTTAATGCCCTTAGTGTTTTCACCTAATAAAGTGTCCGAGAGAAGCTTTCAGTCAATGTATAGTCGTTTACTTCATTCTTTTTACCTGCTACAGTAATTGTAATTAAATAATAATAACACATTATAACAAATATAATCTATAAACAAAAGTAAATAAAACAAAATAAATTATAATTTAATTAGTCTTTTATTACTTTTGCGTTGAAGTGCTTTCTGTCTTTCTTATCGCACTCCATGGCCCTGCTCTTTTCCCATGTCCCGTGACCACCCTGCTGTTACCTGGGAGGGCAGATCAGTGCACGGGATGGAAATCCGGCAGAAGCCCTGCCAGAGGTTCTTCTGTTATTGCCTGCTGTTGGCGAGGGAACCTGAAGAGGAGGAACAGCCCATCTGGACCACAGGAGCAAACCCTCGGAAGTATCGCCTGATGGCCCTTAAGAAGGGAGAGTCTTCAGAGGAGTTGTCTCGTTCTGTCACTTGAGTTAAATAATAGTGAAGGCAGGACTCTGGAAGTCCTAGAGGACAGGTCAGGAAGGAGGCTGTCCCTGTGGTCCCCCACCAAGGGGAGTGCCTTCCCCAGGTCATATTGCTGAACCTAAACCCAAACCCAAACCCAATGACTTATGTTCTCTTTGCAAACAAATACAGTATTGGTCTTGACAAGGTTATTTAACTCTGATCTGCTGATTTTAGAGGCAGAGTGTACAGGTTTGCCTGGATTGGAATCAAGCAATCAAGCCTTGCTAGGGAGAAACATAAAGTGGACAACGGAACCCAAGGCTGGTGGCCTTTTAAGCCCCCCAATCCACAATGCAGAGAACCTGTGATTCTTTGTAATGACTATAAAGGGGCATCATCTGGGCTATCGGGGAATGAGGTGGGGAATAAAAGTTGTGAGCCCTTGAGAATGCTACTACTCAGCTGACTTGACTTTCTGTCTGATACCTTCATCTCCCCATTCCCAGGTTACAGACAGCCCAATGTCCAACCTGTATCACGGTCTGCATCTTAGCAAAGCAGGATCCAGTTTACCTCTGGGGTCCCCCTAATGCTTTGCCCTCATTCATCCAACAGTCTACACGCTGCAGCTGCTCTGGGCTTTTGTTCGCTTCCATTGCCCACAGAATTGCTCCAAAAAAGTCTCCTGACCACCCCTGCCCCTTTTAGGAATACCAGTGCCCAGGCCAAAGCCATTGCCATGTCTCAGAACCTTCCATTCCTTAGAGGGCCAGCATGGTGCTGGGTTCTGGGCAGAAGCGAGGAGAAGGCCCTCTCTCCAGCATTTTGCCACACCCTGAAACAGGAAACAGGACCCCCATGAAGCCCTGTTTGTGCTTCGAATCAAGCCCCCCAATCATTCCAGCTGTTTCTGTCTGTGATTCTGCCCCCAGAGGGGCTCCCAACACTCCAAGGTGAGTGTGTGAGACTCTTTCAGCACCTCCATCCTCCCCTTCCTCCTCTCCAGCTCCTCA